ATGTGTATCTGTCACTCAGGCCATGGTAGAAGTTGAATGGTGACCAGTAGTTTGATGGTCAAGGGCACTGTACCAGAAATAGATGTTAGCCTTTTTATTCGTTTTTAAACAGTATTTTAAGTTCTTTTGTATAGATTTCAACAAAATTGGATGCATTAATTTCCTTTAACCAAATCAACAGCTACTCCAGAACTAAAAATGACACATTTTCTGATACATTAAATAAATTTGTATACTAATATTTACTTTTGTATAATTTTTTCTGTTGAAAAATTAAATTTTTCAAATACCTGTCTGTCATATGTGCATGTATGTATGTATGTATGTATGTATGTATGTATGTATGTATGTATGTATGTATGTATGTATGTATGTATGTATGTATGTATGTATGTATGTATGTATGTATGTATGTATGTATGTATGTATGTATGTATGTATGTGCACAATAAATGATGGATACTTTAATATATTTTTTAGGTTAACACAACATACAGTTGTTACTAATGCTTTTTGAATTCAATTTCAGGACTGCAAGAGGAGGCCAGTGATGTTCATAATGGTGAATCTGACTGTCATGAAGATCATGATGAAGGTCATGGTCACATTCATGACAGAGGTCATGATAAAGGTCATGGTCACAGTCATGATAAAGGTCATGGTCACAGTCACGAGAAAGGGCATGGTCACAATCATGAGAAAGGGCATGATAAAGGTCATGGTCACAGTCATAAAAAAGGACATGGACACAGTCATGGAGGGACAAAAGCCTCACAAAATCAAATTATGGAAGGTGAGAAACTTGTTTGAGACACTGTATTCTAACATATGTCATATTCCAATGTAGACCTATCTACTGTTACATAATGTACCAGCAGATCAGGCAGGGCTTTCCTGATCAGCCAGGAGCTGAGTGAGTTACCAGGCTACTTTTATTATACACTGGTTACTTTACAAAAAAACAAAACAAAAATCTGTATCCACAGTGAGCGAGGTCATCCAAACTCCCCATCTACTTTGGCAACTCACCCTTTAACTTTAAAGCTGATAGAAGGCCCTGCTTAGGGTCTATGTTGTTCACATGGAATTATGAATGGAATGAACAGCAGTGACACTAATATGCCAGCATATATGGGTATGCACTTTACACAGCAGAGTACTTCTTGTAGATAACTAGATCATTACAGCAGTTATAGTTTAGTACATTTGTATGGGAAAATAACATTTTTTGGATGGCTATACTGCATGACCTTGGGAGTGCAGTATATCCATCTTAAAAAATGAGTTCATATTTTTCCATTCAAATGCAGTAACCTTTTTATTATCTGCTAATTTTTGTTTCATTACCAAAGACTTAATAATAAAAGTCACAACCAAATATATTTAATAATAAAATTTATTACTTTATTATTATCATAATAAAGTTCACAATCGTAGCTTCCTTCAATACACAATAATAGTATTCATGCGCATATATCTCCACCTACCAATCTTTTGACTTCATAGTGTACCGCATGCTCATGTGCTTCAAGCGCGAGGAGTGCAATATAAAGGTGTTCAATATCAGGGAATATTGAACAATTCTTACAAAAAAAGTAAATGGAGAAGAAAAATGAGCATATAATAAAGTTTCTTTTTATATGTAGATAACTATGGTTACGAAACAGTGATTCTTATCCATAGATAATTTATTATTACAGTGGAGTGCTTCTCATGCATAGATAACTGGTTATGCAGAGTGCTTCTTATCTATAGATAATAGAGCACTTCTCATACTTAGATAACTATGCTATTAGAGTAAATTGCTTCTCTTACATAGACAACTGTATTGTTAAGAGTAGAGTGCTTCTGATTCGAAGATAACTGTATTGTTACAGTAGAATGCTTTTTATACATAGATAAAAATTTGTCACATCATAATGCTTCTGTAATATATAGATAAATATATTGTCACAGTAGAGGTGCTTCTCATACATAGATAACCATATTGTTACAGTAAGGTGCTTCTCATTCATAGATAACTATATTGTTTGTTCATCATTCAGAACTTACAGTTTGAACTAGCAGTAGAGATTTGCAGGTATTTCATTACTGCTTTGTGTGCCTTTCTAAGAAGAAATGGTTTACTCCTATTACTATGGTATTCACTTACCCTTCCATTAATTTGTATCCACTACTGATTTTAAAAGTGAAGCATCGATGATATAGTAAATATATCAAACCTAGTCATTTCCTTTATGTATTCGAGAAAGTGTTTTAGTAAATCATGTTTCTTAAAGAACAATCACCTGATCATAATACTGTTACCCTCTCCATACATATACATACTTTCCTGCAAATCTGATTTATCACTCAGATAGGACTAATTGATGGGTAGCCAGTTTGCAGTGTTAAAAAGGGAGGTAATGGGTAGGAGTTCATTCCCTTCAATCTCAGGGGTGTATAGAATTTTCATAATTCTGGGAGGGCTGTAGTCAAGAGTTATTGGAGTTTATTTTCCTAATGTAAATCTAATCCGATAAGTATTTTTAGAGAAACATAATTTACTAAAAAGTTGGTTTGTATTGATAGATTTAGTTTAGTATTCAGTTATTGTGAGAAAACATTATTGTTGTGAAACTGTCATTTGTGATATATCAGTATTGTTGTGAAACATGGATTGAAATACCATGTTTGCTCTCATAAAAGGCCCCTAAAAAAAGGTACCAAACATTGCCAACTTACCTCTGTCCTCATGGGTTCGAGTCTCAGGCTTTGCCTATGTAGTACACTTTTACTCTTTAATTCTCTTTGTAAGAGGCCACCCCAGAAGTTTAATATTACCCTATCTCACTTTCATCTCACTTTTTTCCAGGTGTGTTTTTACACATCCTTGCTGATACTTTGGGAAGTGTGGGAGTAATTATATCTTCTGGACTTATACATGCCTTTGGATGGATGGTGGCAGACCCTATATGCTCTATGTTTATAGCTACATTAATAGGAATAAGGTAGGCCAGGATGTATTAAAAGTTTTAGTCATGTTGAAGACATTTTTAGGACACTGTAGTACCAGTGAGTTAGGTTCTTAGCCATAATTATTGCATTCATTTTAGATACATATATGTTCAGCTTCCTTTCAGGAGTCATATTTGTGATGGTTATGTGGTCTTTGTTATTCTACATCATGGAGACGATATTTGGAGGTTCCCTAGTGCTAGACTTCACTATAAACTGCCACACTGCAGATATCATAGCGATATGACTGAAAAATTGTTAAAGCTATGTTAAAAATCATATTCACATCACATCACATTAAGCGAGTGAAAGTTTTTGTCTTAATTGTTGATGGCAAACCATTAGCATTACTTTTCCATACTGTTTGCTTGTACAGGTTCATCATTATTGCTAAATGTTTAGTTTTGTCCAAAATTAAGATCTGGTCAGGGCCTGAGATGGCCAGGTAGTCTAAAGCACTCATCTTTACCAATCATCGCCAACTCATCTCATTCCACATGGGTTTGAGTCTCAGGCCTATGTAGGTATATATGAAAGCTTCCCATATGTCAGTTGTTCTTATCCAGGTTTTCTCCAGGTTCTTCCTCAACCAGTTATGCTGGCTGTCATATATAGCCTATCTTGCAGTGTGTAATGGCATTAAAACAAAACAAGAAGAAAAGCTGGATCAATTTTTTTTAGCTAAGCATGGCAGAAAATTGACAAAGCAATTGCTTTGAGATACACAGGCAATCCATCCATCAAGCTCTGAATCAGTTTTATTTTAGCCAACTGTGGCAGAAAATTAAAGGAGTAGTTGCTTTGATGTACATGTGTATTTCCATCCATCCATTTGTCCGTCCACACTCTAGGAACACATACCATATGTCCATCCACATCCTAGCATGCATGCCAACCATTACGCATTTGGCGTAATCATTGCACTGTTTTTCACTAAATTACACCTTCCACGTAAATAAATTTGGATTACGCTTTTTCAGTATATCACCCTTCCCAAAGAATTAATAATTGGTTTTCTCATTTTTATTAACATCCCACTAATCGCCCAGAATATAGTCTAGAAAAGACGGCTTCTGTGTAAAGTACACTTGTCTGTAGACTAGCAGTGACTTTCCTAAGTGTTATGCTCTATTTATAGCAGCTGCCCTATTTCCAAGAAATATGCTGGTTTGTAATTTTAAACTTTTGACCTCTGTTTCTATTTATAGCAGCTGTCTGGCTTAGCACAGAACAGACTGGTTCTCTAATTTTTAATCTTTGCTCACATATTCTTTGTTAAAAATAATGTGAGGTACAGAACCATTCATTGGAATTTGGAGGTAAAAGTCCGATTTATTCTAGTTGATGCATATGTTACAGCAAAAATGTTTATCAAATGATTTCACAGAGGTATAAAAAAAACCGGAAAAAAACGACTAGGAGATAAATACATGAATAACACAATACAGTGCCATTCTAGGGTAGCTTCACACCCATTGCAGGAAAGGATTTTAATATTAGTCAGTGTAAAACAGACGCCTTGAATTACTTCGTTTTGCTAACTCCATTACTAAGGTAACTTCTTTTTTACAGCAGAACTAAAATGTCGAAATGAATTTTATAAATGCAGGGGCATTATTTACTGAGTTCTTAATAAAAAAATGACTACAGCTAGTGGTAGAATACAACTTTGGTCCTTTGTTCAAACTCATGCTTCCTGATGCCAAAATTGCGGAAAATATGCATGTGTTTTGTACATATGCACATTGAATTTTATTATGCTGTATGTGGCTTTTTTTTGCTCAGATTACTCTTTTTGTCCACTTGGATTATGCTTTTTCCTCGCCAGGGATTGGCATGTTTGCCCTAGGGCCACACACCATATGTCAATACACACCCTAGGGCCACACACTATATGTCCGTCCACACCCTAGGGCCACACACCATATGTCTGTCCACACCCAAGAGCCACACGCCATTTGTCCATCCACACTCAAGGGCCACACACTATATGTTCATTAACCGCTCCGGTGGCCTAGTGGTTAGAGCGTCCGCCTCAGATGCAGGAGGTTGTGGGTTTGATCCCCGGTTGAGTCATTTTAAAGACTTAGAAAAATGGTACTAATAGCTGCCTCACATAACGCTCAACATTAAGAAGTTAGTGTTAGGATTGGTCGGCCTGGTGTCAGGGTAACGTGACTGGATCTGACATCATGCATGATGCCCCAGTGCTAGACATCACTATAAACTGCCACACTGCAGACATCATACCGATATGAATGAAAAATTGTTAAAGCTACGTTAAAAATCATAATCATATCACATCACTATATGTCCATTAACACCCTAGGGATACACACCATATTGTCTGTCCACACCCTAGGGCCACACACCATATGTCCATCCACACCCTAGGGTCACACACCATATGTCCATCCACACCCTAGGGACAGACACCATATGTCCGTCCACACCCTAGGGTCACACACCATATACCCATCCACACCCTAGGGACAGACACTATATGTCCGTCCACACCCTATGGACACACACCATATGTCCTTCCACACCCTAGGGCAATGTGAAAGAGTTTTTAGATTAAGTTCAGTTTTGAAACTTTTACTTTCTAGCTAAATTATTAATGTGCTCAACCAAAAGTGGCGTCCATTGTTTCAATAATATTTGAATTTTCTTTTTATGGATGGTTTGAAATGGAGACAATGAAGACACATGTTCATGTTCAGGTCAGAAGGTCAAAGATCAAGGTAACAGTTACTGAAAGAAGGAATAACAATTTCCACAAAATTACTGTAGTTATGTATTACATGTCTTTACTTTGTCGATGGCTTACATTTCAGACAAGGAATTTTTCTTGTGATTTTTGGGTTTAAAAGGTAAAATGTCAGATGGATTACATAGAATAATAATAGCTCAATTCCAATGCTACAGACCATGAGTAAATTTAGTAGATGGATTGTGTTTATGACAAGAAAGGCGCTTATTGATTTTGGGGTTATTAGGTCAAATGCCGAGGTAAAAAAACTTAAAGAAAATTAGTTACCACAAAAGATAACTTGCAATATTGGGTGTATAATGTGCTTTATATTGTATGCGTGTTGTAGTTTTGCTTAAAAGGTGACTATAGTTGGCATCTAAAGCTGTGGATGAGGGAAAAAAAACCTTGCCTCCACAGATGGATTACCCTCCATGTACCTTTGTAACTCATGGTATGTAATAATCACAGAATCTGAGAATATTGTTACACCAAGGATAATTAGTTAATTTTAAGTAATTGTTTTAGTGTTATTATCCATTGAATTCCAATTATAAAATATTTTTGTAGAATTTCTGCTTTTTAAAAAGCATAAAGTACCATATAGGTACTTGCTTATAAGTCAAGTTCACCTGCACACAGCATAGACCCAGATCTGCTTTATCATGATGCATCAGCAAATCTAGGTCTGTATTATTTTATTGTTTTTACCGATTGCTCCTGAAAACTCTGCCAGTGCATATTGGTCTTTGGCAATTTGAAGTTGGGCTCTACATCAAACTGAGTATTTATAGCACAGTATTATAGTCATGCTATTGGACCTATTTCTAATTTTATTTCAGTGTCATACCTCTACTTCGAGATTCCATTGGTATATTAATGCAGAGAACACCTAGACAACTAGATCATCAACTACCTGGGTGCTATACTAGGGTATGAAGCCTTTTGATTTAACACATCTCTTGTAGTCATATATACTCAGTCTCTGTTTATCAGATATTTTTGTTATCAGATTTGATGAATAGGATTATTTCATAACAAGGAGTTAGTAGAACAAAGTGTCTTACATTGCTTGGAGTTATAAGATACCTCAAAAATGGATATTGTGTTTACACCAATCAGCAAAGCTGTGTCTTGGGAAAAGCAACATAAAAAAGTAAATATTAAATATGTGAATCATACATTGAGGGAGAATGTGAGTGGAAATATGGAAACTAGACTATAAGGCCACTTTTAAGTTATTTTGATCAAGTTTGTACTTATAAAAGCAAAGATTGTTGCCTTATTCAGGCTTAAGTACTGTAATATCAAATAAGGGTTGTTTCTTATTCTGAAATGAGTGCTGGCGATATCAAACAAGGAATGTTGTCATTTGATTCTGGCTTGAGTACTGACTATATCAAACAAGGATTGTTGTATTTTGATTTGGGCTTGAGTACTGGCTATATGAAAAAAGGGTTATTTTTTATTTGGGCTGGTGATATCAGTCAAGGATCATTTTTTTATTCTGGCTTGAGTACTGACTATATCAAACAAAGATTGTTGTATTTTGATTTGGGCTTGAGTACTGGCTATATGAAACAAGGGTTGTTTTTATTTGGGCTGGTGATATCAGTGAAGGATTGTTTTTTTTTTATTCTGACTTGAGTACTGACTATATCAAACAATGATTGTTGTATTTTGATTTGGGCTTGAGTACTGGCTATATGAAACAAGGGTTGTTTTTTATTTGGGCCGTTGATATCAGTCAAGGATTATTTTTTTTATTCTGGCTTGAGTACTGGCCATTTTTAAAGTATATAAAAATCAGTTTGAGACTTGCAGTATTGTGCTGATTTAGTTTAAAAACCTAGAATATTTCAAGAAGTTTGACTGCTGCATGGCATATATGGTATATACTTTGTCAGCTGATGTACTATTAAAAGTGTTATATTTTTTTTTTTATATAATACAACCAAAATTTCTTTGGTTTTGTAACATAAATGAATATCTGTTATACATGGTTAGTCATTTAAATGTGAGAACTTTACATCTTCTAATGAATTTTCAAAGTTATAGTGTTAAGAAACAATGGCATATGCCTCTTATTGAATGAAACTGACAAAAAAAGTTAACTACAGTATGTTTATAATTTTATGCAAGTTTGCTTTAGAAATCAAATGATCAGTATATTGTATTTCTAGACTTTTAATGAAAACAAATATGAGATACTGTAAATAACATAACTGAAGAACATAGGATTACTTGATGCTGTCACTGCTGTGTGATACATCTTGATTATTTTTATTAACAATATTTATGACCAATTGATTATTAATTCACAAGCTTGATTAATATTTTATTAAATGATTACAGTTATCGAAGAAATATTTTGTTGCAGGTGAGTCAACTGGAGGGTGTGTACAGTGTACAGGAGCCTCACTTTTGGACCCTTTGTAGTGAGGTGTACATAGGTACCATCAAACTGGAGGTTGCATTGGGTGCTGATACAAAATATATTCTTAGTCAGACTCACAATATCTTCACACAGGTAAATTTTATGACATTTTACTTTAAAAAAACTTTCACTTTATAAGCAGAATACAGTATGTAAAATAACTGATCCTATATTTTAAGGATGGGAACATTTTTTGTTATTATTTGTATATTTTTTAAAGAAATTTATCACATTTTACCATACATCTTTTATCTTGTAAGATAAAACATTTACTTTTATCCAAAAGGGTTTATCTTCTTGAAGATTTAAGCAATTTTCAACCTTTATATTAGTTTAGAATGTTTAAGATCACTGCCTTTTATCTTCAAGGACTACCTATCGGCATTTATTTGGAAGGTTTATCTTACTGAAGTTTCTTTTAATAGTACTTATAGCTATGATTGTGTTGATGTGCATGCACAGACAGACACACACACACCTTATTCAGCTATTAGTTTAATTAAGTTCATCCAGTTGGAACATTTAAGAGAGGGAATGATTCTGATGTACATGATGGATCAAACCAAAAAAGTAACCAGAGTCTTCATGTTGTTATGCCCCATTGCTTGTGTCATAGACATTTTGATTTGGTCCTGCATGTACATAAATATTTACCTCTCTCTCCATCTATTGATCCCAATAAGCTTTTTAGCAAGATTATGCAAAAACCACTCATTGCAGACAGATGAAATTTGGCTAGTTTATTTTTATTCAAATGTAGATGACTTGATTTGATTTTAATGCCATTATAGTGTTTTTCACATTTTTAGAACTTATTTGTACTTTTGGGACAAAAATCTTGTTTGCTATATTAAGTTGAAGCTATTGAAATTAGGTAGGCTTATTTGTATCTGTGTGTTGTTCTGTTTATATTTTCAGACTGTCATTCCATTTTAAATAATTTTTAAACACATATTGCATTTTTTTTAAAAAACAATTGCATGTTTGCAGCATTAATCAAAAACCATTTTAGATTTACAGTTGATGACATAGCTATCAGCTTGGACTGACATACACGACTGACATTTGTGTCTATAAGCTTGGAATGACATGCACTTGACTGATTCCATCTATCAGCTTGGACTGAATTACACCAGTCTAGGACATCTCTCCCCCCAACTTTCCCTTCCCCCAGACTTTCCCCTGACATTTCTTCCCAGGACTCCCACCACCCATCAAATAGGATTTTTCCTTTCCAGTCATTTCCCCCCCATGATCTTTTAATTCATTAAATATGACATTTTGCCAATAAAATATAAAAACTTATGTTAAAAGAAAAAAGTTATTTGAATTAAATCTCAGTAGTGTTAAACAAAGTTAACATTTTTCACGTATAAAAAATGTATTGTTTAAATGTTAATGTTTTAAGCAATTGCTTTTAAGTATTCTATGATGTTATGAATGTTGAAGTCAGTGACTCTGTTTGCAATTCTCGAAGAATAGTCTTTGTACTTCTTCTTTGGTTGTTACATCATAATCTGCTTATGTCAACAGAGGTCAGGAAAGTATATATTTTACATTTAATACATTTATTTCAGGTGACAAGTCATACCTGTGCACTAATGGTGATGCAGGATGCGAGTAAACATTAAAGCTAAATGTTACTATATATAAATAAAGTTGTATAAAAATGGAGAGGGAATGACAGGGGAGGGAAAAGTCCTATCTGATGGGGGGGAAGTCCAGGGGAGGAAATATCTGGGGGAGAAATGTTGGAGGGGGGATTTCGTGGGGGAGATGTCCTGATACCAAATTACACATGACTGATGTTATCAGCTTGGACTGATATACACATGACTGACATTTGTGTCTATAAGATTGGAATGACATACACAGGACTGATTATGT